GTGATGAGAACTTAGAGACGAGTTCTTTTGAAGGAGGGACTGATGCAGGAGATCAAGTATTGGACGAGGCGAGAAGAAAGGTAGCAGAGTCGACTGAACAACCGGACAAGACGAGACGATAATAGAACAGGCGAGTCGAGATGACGACGGGACGAGTCGACACAATCCAATCGAGTCGAGCAGACGTCTGCGATAGGACGAGACGACAGGCGACAGGACGAGACGACACATTTCAATCGACACGAAAGGCAGGACTACTCGACATATTTAGCCGACTCATGTCTAGTCGACATGAAAGGCGATATTACTCGGCACGCCTCGTGTCGACTCGGACTTCAGATTAGAAAAAAGTTCCTTTTTGGTTATTTCTTTTTGGATTTGGTTATTTCCTTTTAGACTTAAGAGTTTCTTTTTTATTAGAGTTAGGATAGATTTATTTTGCTTTACATAATAGTTTTTTTGTAAATCAAACAATTAACTTTCAATTTATTCAACCAAGAGAGTTTTTCTCCTTGTTTTCTTTCTCAAGTTTGAGAAACTTAGGGCGTGTGGATTCAAGCTCGTGAATTACATGCGATTGTCAGGGCTCGTCGGCATCGGAACGATATCTGATCAACCTCCCCACTTCTACGTCTGCGTCATATTCCATTAAAGTTAACTTTATGAATCTAGTTTCCAGTTATACCATTTTTTTAAAGTTTACATCCAAACCCAAACCCGTTTAAGACCCAAATCCTCTTCTCCCCAACGATCATTTTCTTCTGCCTGACCCATTTTCTAGAGAAAATAAGAGCGAAATTAGTGATTTTAGGGAAATGAATAAATTAAGGTCAAATGGTAATCTGCCACGTTGGGGTAATCATTAGCACCTCCACTGATAAGAATAGGATGGAAAACTAAGACTAATTTGGAGTGACGAATAAGAATTAGGTTCTAAATAGTTACTTCGATGATTTGAGGGGTTACTTTTAAAATGAATTTTTAATATCCCCTTGAAATCTATCATATTTGCAAATCTACCCTCAAATCTAGAATTTGCTAATTTACTTACCAAATCTCCCATGTTAATTTTTTTCTACTGCACAAATTCAATATAACTAATATATCTCTGACTACGTTAAGTAATTATATTCATTTATAATTAGATGTTGATTAGAAAGTGGGAAAGAGGAGGGGGGTTTTAAATTACTAAGCTCTTATAAATTAATAAAATTAATTAAGTTAATCAGAGGTATTGGTGATATTGAAAACTGAGGGGTAGAAAACCCAATGTGGGATATAAGCTGTCAAGCCACCCCACGAAAAACCTCAAAAGATATTTTCTAGAGCATCCAAGACTGAATAATGTATCCACACATTTGCCATGAGGAAGAGGTAAAAGGGGTGGCAGGGGAAGGGACAAATAAAATTAGTTGTGTTTGAAAGACAAGATGAGAAAGAGAGGGTACACTCCAATCTAATTAGTTTAAGGGCGATTAGTGGTTGAGGATTGTTGATTCTAACTCGGATTTTTTTCTTCTTGCATTTTAATTTAGGGTGCTATTAATTTCGGACTAGAATTTGGACTTAAATTTAACGTGTTTTTGGTTTAGGATTAGGATTCTGATTTGAATTTAAGACGTTATTGGTTTAGAACTGGGGTTTGGTTTGAATTTTAACGTGTTATTGGTTTAGAACTAGGATTGAATTTAACTTTATATTGAATTTAACGTGTTATTGGTTTAGAACTGGGGTTTGGTTTGAATTTTAACGTGTTATTGGTTTAGGATTAGAACTCGGAAAATTATCATGTAGATTGGGGGCATATTTCATTAAATTTAACTTTATATGAATCGAGTTTCCAGTTATACCACTTTTTTTTAAGTTTACATCCAAACCCAAACACGTTTAAGACCCAAATCCTATTCTCCGCAACGATCATTTTCTTCTGCCTAACCCATTTTCTGGAGAAAAGGAGAGCGAAATTAGTGATTTTTGGGAAATGAATAAATTAAGGTAATTAAAATGGTGATCTTCCACGTTGGGGTAATCATTAGCACCACCACAGATAAGAATAGGACGGGAAACTAAGACTAATTTGGAGCGACTAATAAGAATTGGGTTCTAAATAGTTACTTCGATGATTTCAGGGGCTACTTTTAAAATTACTTTTTTATATCCCTTGAAATCTATCATATATGCAAATCTACCCTCAAATCTAGAATTTGCTAATTTACTTACCAAATCTCCCATGTTAATTTTTTTTCTACTGCACAAATTCAATATAACTAATATATCTCTGACTACGTTAAGTAATTATATTCATTTATAATTAGATGTTGATTAGAAAGTGGGAAAGAGGAGGGGGGTTTTAAATTACTAAGCTCTTATAAATTAATAAAATTAATTAAGTTAATCAGAGGTATTGGTGATATTGAAAACTGAGGGGTAGAAAACCCAATGTGGGATATAAGTTGTCAAGCCACCCCACGAAAAACCTCAAAAGATATTTTCTAGAGCATCCAAGACTGAATAAAGTATCCACACATCTGCCATGAGGAAGAGGTAAAGGGGGTGGCAGGGGAAGGGACAAATAAAATTAGTTGTGTTTGAAAGACAAGATGAGGAAGAGAGGGTACACTCCAATCTAATTAGTTTAAGGGCGATTAGTGGTTGAGGATTGTTGATTCAAACTCGGATTTTTTTCTTGCATTTTAATTTAGGGTGTTATTACTTTCGGACTAGAATTTGGACTTAAATTTAACGTGGTTTTTGATTAGGACTAGGATTCGGATTTGAATTTAAGACGTTATTGGTTTAGAACTAGGGTATGGATATGAATGTTAACGTGTTATTGGTTTAGAACTAGGATTGAATTTAAAGTGTTATTGGTTGTCTAGGATTGTTATTAGGACTATGATTTCAAAATTCATGCTTGATTCCAACTCTATAGTTTTTAATGAGAAATTTTCAAGAGAATGTCAAAGTTAAAATTGGTAGGGATTGAGATCTTATTCTGTAGATTTTTTCTCTCCTCTTCTCTTAACTTATTTAAATATTTAATATATTTTAATTTAAATATATTTAATTTTAAATTATTCTATATTTCTAACTTATTTATATATTAACATTGAATGTATTTAATTCTAAAATATTTGTAATCAACTTCTATAAATTTATTTAATACTATTTAATCAATTAATATATTTAACATTTAATATTGAAAAGATATGTTTATTATTTAAATATTTAATATTAAATACATTTTATTTTTATTTAAATGTTAGATATGAAATATATTAAATACATAATTATTAAATATATGTAATATTTACAATTTTAGTATATTAAATAATAAAAGCATTTAATATTTAATCATTCAAATATTTGATATAAAATAATATATTTAATATTTACATATCTAAATATACAAATTAGTTTTTATATGATCGGACACTGATTATTTTCATTTGGAACTGTTTAAAAGGATTACAAGATGCATTCAATTTGGTTGTTGTCATCTGTTAATCGAATGAGAGTGATTTTTCAAATTATGTTCATTTTTTATTAATCATTATTATTTAACATAATAATTTAATTTAAATTCCTAATGTCAATAATTCATTAATCTAAAATTTAGTCTGAGAATCCGACCCTTAGTTTACGAATCCAAAGCAAAAGTTTAAAATTTTCGAACTAAAAGTTTAAGAATTCTACTCAAAAAAATCAAAATCCAATCCAAAAGTCCGGGGATCTAACCATAAAAATCCAAGTTCAAGTCACAATCCAACAAAGTTGGATTCATGAGCAATTGTCCAATTCCAAATCAACAATCCAGAATGAATAACACCCCCTTAGAGTAGAGAATGGAAAGGAAGGAAACTACATGACTAATATACACTTTTTGAAGGAATGGTACATCTAATATTTTTGTATTGGGTTAATTCAGAATATACCTCTTAGTAGTATCACCGAATTGCGAATAACCCCTTGTAATTCTATTTGTGGCGAATAGTCCTCACGTAATATTGGCTCAGGTGCAAATACACTTTATTAGGGCATGTTTGGATCGGGATTAATGTGACGTAGTCCTGATGTAATATTGGCTCAGGTGCAAAAACACTTTATTAGGGCATGTTTGGATCGGGATTAATGTGACATAAGGGAAGGGAGGGGACACATTAACCATGTTTGGTAACTAATATGAGGTAGATATTGGGGAGAAGCTAAGGTATCTGAGAGGGAAAAACTTAAGATTTTGACTTCTCTTAACTTATCTATATTCAGTTAACTTCCCTTAACTAGGAGCAAATCCAAACATGCCCTTTGTGAACTTTTTCAACTCTTTTAAAATTCAAAAAAATTGGCAACCGGGGGTAATATCAACACAAATAGAACTACATGGGATTTATCCACCTCCTCAAAAGCTTTTTAAGGATTTTAAGAGTAAAAAATCACTCAGGGGGTCAATTCACATAATTAGAACTACAGAAGATCTATTCGCAATTGGGGTCAATTCGCACAAATAGAACTACAGAGGGTCTATTCGCAATTGGGTGATACCACAGGGATCTGTTCTCAATTAACCCTTTTTTATTTCTCTAAGGATAACATTGAAATATTAAGAAAGTTTCACTTAAACTCCCACCGTCCACCCCCAAATTCCTTCAATTTTGTACGGCGAAGGGTAAAATCATTATAGTTAAACAGAGATATAAGGAGTACTGATAGGTCTGAGAGAACGTGTTCAAAAATGTTGACAAGAACATGGAAATGAATAACTTAGTGGAGGAGATTGCCCTCAACAGAACTGAGCAGAAGAGTAATATTCATGTAATCCATCCCAAAAACTTGGGGCAAAGGCTTTGCTATTGTATCTATGACAGTTTAATTGTCAATGAAAAGTCATGAGATGTAATAATATTCCAAGTGTTAAAACCAACCCTGATAGGCATCATAAAAGCTAGCATTTGATGCCCTGTGAATTTTAGTCTTTAAATCTCATATGTTAAAAAGCAAACCTTATATTTCTTGCAAATAGCTATAATCTCTGGAAGTTTGCAGAGCTCTCCCTCCATGCTGTAGATTCCCTCAACAATAACTAGTATTTTTTTCCAACGTCTATGTGTACGAGGTTGTCCCTCAGCAATCCGCTTTCTTAGCACCTCCTCTAAGTGAGCCGGTTCTACATGTAAAAATCCAATGAAAGCATTAATTTTTTGCACATAGACTAAATCTAATCATGCATCAAAGGTTCAAAACTTACTGTTGTGTTGGAAGACATGTATTGCTGCCCCTGATGCTCGAGCACCATTGACAATTGAGTTATGATTTAAAGAATCACTAATTATCAATCCTCCCTGTATAAATGATCATAGGAAATCCCAATCAGTAGTTGGTCACGTGAACATAACAAAGGCTATCCAGAACTTTTGGGGTTGGCTACATGACTCATATTTTTCTATTCAATTCTGTTAAGAGCTATATGCTCTTTTAAATTTACTACTAATAGTTGGTTATGAAAGAATCTCAAAGTTTGAAGTTCACAATGTCAAGTACAAACCTGTCCAATGAGGACGGGAATGATGCCAGAGTTTGTGACATAACCCATACCAAATATAATAGCAGCTGTCTTTCCTACAAATCGGGCAATCAACTCCTCCAGTTCGGTGTGCAGTTTTGTAGTCCCTGATGCCAAACAACGAGAAAATATAGATTATCTTTTATTCAAAATTTTAATGTGTAATATTCATGAGGAAGAACATCCCTACCTCCATCTACACAAGCACTGCAAGTACTGGGAGAGTATTTTTGGAGGGATTCAATAACACGGGGTGTGCAATATTCATCCGCTGCAGCAAAACCAAGGTAATTGTATGATCCTAGGTTGAGACATCTAGTAGAATTTGTGGTCCGGCTGCAATTATTAATAAAACTAGTTACATTCTTTCCTTTTTTGAATAACAAATAACGTATTTGATGCATCTAAATATCAATCAGTAACAACTAAATAGAAGCTTAAAGGTTTGAGTTTTATGTACATTCCTTTAATCATTCAACAACCTGTATCTTCTAGCTCTTAAGAACCATTATTCTTGGAAGACTAGTGAACTATTGTTAAGTGACCAAAAGATAACAAGTGATACATTTTGTAAGGAGTAGAAACTTTTGCCAGCGAGGAAGAGCTTTTCATATAGTATTTAGGGGCACTGCATACTAGCACTTACTGCAATGTCTTATTATTGTCATTGGTATAACGTTCAACCACATCGATCCAAGAATCTGGTGCGCTTGAAATTGGTCTGTTAGCACAATCCTGCAGAAAAAGGACTTCGAATGAGAATAGTGCAGGAATTGCATGTTTAGTTGTTTACATCCCAAAATACTCTTAAGGCCTTGTACACAGTATAAAAAAGGTTTACGATTAGTTACTTCGCTCTCCACCACATGTTCTAATCTTTTACAAATAAACCATTTCTTTTTCCTTATTTATTTTGTACAACAAATTTTTCTCATAAAAGCTATTGCATATTAAAACTGTTGCAGGTTATGTGGAAGCAAGAACAAATAAATTTCAGTATTTCTTGAAAGTGGACCTTCAGGACATCTTTCTGTATGTCCTCTAATATGAAAACATAAATGTCCAAGTAGAGATTAGAAATTCATTATTTTGAAACATTCTACTTAGCAGAACCATTAGAATTAAAAAAGAGAGTCAAACTCCTGCTCAAGATGCCTAATAAACATCACTATTGAAAATGTCAATTAAATCACAAAAAGAATTTTCTTTTATATGGGAACCCGACAACTTAAGTTCAATGCAACAGAAAAAACATGGATAACTTATTTACTGATTATTCCCTAAACCAATTCCAATACTCCAAAAAAATGTGAAAAGGATAAATTGTAAATTTGCTTATGCAAATAACAAAGGACTCAATATTCAACAATATCATCAAAGTGAAAAGGATAAATTGTAAATTTGCTTATGCAAATAACAAAGGACTCAATATTCAACAATATCATCAAAATATAACAACAAATCAGAATTCTTCATTATGCAAATAACAAAGGACTCAATATTCAACAATATCATCAAAATATAACAACAAATCAGAATTCTTCAATTATTGAAGGAATAAATATATGTAAGGAATTCAATATATGAATTTTCAAAGAAGAAGTTGTATACGGAGCCAATTGTATTCCTCATAAACTCAAAATTGGGGTAGGAAATGTTTTTCCCATGAGATGAAGAAGCTAGCATTATCTACTGCAGCGTATAGTATCTGGACAGAGAGGAATACCAAAGTTCATCCTAAGGTGAAGAGAGATTATGTCCAGGTTGTGAAGCAGGTAAGAGTACTCATTTTTGATATCCTTATACCATTGCCAAGTGCCTGATCAGTTTTGTTTTTGGGTGGAGAATTTGTAGTTGGAATTTTGATAATTGTGTGTTGCTGTATAGTTGCACAGATTCCCTAGACCCCTCAAACCGTCGTACAGTTCTTGCGAACCGATTCCCGATACGTTTCAATCAATTCCCTCTGATACATGAATTGGTTCCCCAAAATTGGCATAAACCTTATAAGTAAGCAGGACAAAACCCCTTTAAGTGTACATGTGCAAGAAGCAATGCAATGTGTGCAATCAAGTAAAGAGAGGTGCACAATGGAATATATTAGTCAATAACTTCACTATAACTAAATACCTATGTTAATAAATCGTGAAATGAAACCATTATCCCAACACAAACTATATGAAAGGAAAAACAGAACAAAAGAATGAACTCCATAGAATAGAAGCATTTAAGTATTTCTTATGAAAAAATGTTGAAATACATAAGTAGCTTTATAGTTCTACTTTTCTACTATACACTTTGGAAAATAATAAGCACACCCAAAAGATTTATTACAACACCCCCCCCAAAAAAAAATAATAAATAATAAATAAATAAATAAATAAATAAACAGAATATCACATCCAGATATTCTAAGTTGCAAATTGCATAGCCAAATTCATGCATGACTAGCTATGTTCCATGTACTCTGCAACTATGTATTGTAGTATATGGGTTTTTTATTTATTTTTGGTTGTATACTGTCATATGTTGTATTGACAGTTTTTGAGATGTACAAACTCAGGTATGCCTAAGTAATGCTCTCTAAATGCTCACTTTGTTTAATGAAAGTATTTACTTCATTGACCAAAAAAGATAACCTTGTATCAACATATTAACCGAATTGGCTAGTTCCTCTTAGTAGAAGATATTATATGATTTGTTGTTTTCAATAATTAAGTCTAGATTCAACGTATTAGTTTAAATATAGTATCATACAATTTAAGACTTTTTAGAATCATATGATTTATGACTTTCCCGTATCATACAATTTAGGACTTTCCTGTATTAGATGTTTCCTCTTATTGGAAGATATCATATGCTTTGTTGTTGTTTAATAATTAAGTCTTGATTCAATATATTTGTTTCATTTTCATATAGATTCTTAAAAATTTTATTAGTAGAGACTCTAAAAAGAGTATAAGTATTAAGCATCTTAATCTTCTTCATAATCAGTGAGAATTTCCTCTGTTTATTTTCAACATGGTATCGGAGCAAGTAATGCAGGACGAATTCAGATCTGAATCTGAAAAAAAAAATTGATGAAATTTTGATATGATTTTGTTTAATTAGGATAGATGAATTAGTTATGGTTTTATTTGATTTTATCTTTTTCCTTTAGTTAGGATATTATCTGATCTTATCTTCTTTTACTACGGATGTTATTTGATGTCATTTCTTTTTTTAGTTTAGGATTTGTTAACTTTTTAGTTTTTTCAATAAATAATTTGTGTTTGCCATTTGAGGGGAGAGAAGAATGTTTGAGAGGAACCCTAACTGTGAATTGCAGCTAGCACTGGACATGAGAATTTCTGGCATATGACGTGCTCAAGTGTGAAGCTCAGTATTTGTATGATGTTTTCTTAAATGGGGAGCAGTTCATTATTTGTTTTTTATTTTATATTATCCTCATTCTCAATAAATTTATATGCTTCTGTTATCATCAGAAAATTTTTGAATCCTTAGGATATATATTTAATCTTTCTTAATCTGAGAGTCATTGGGAGGGTTTTGCCATAAACAGCACCTTGCTGCTTTCGCTTAGCGTCTTCGATATCAATGGAATAGGTAAGCTCATCAAGTTCCTAGCATTCTAAACTGCAGGGAAAAACAGTCTTCTTGATCCACTTCAGATTTAGCATCTCGCTCTTTCAAATCCCAAGGAGAGAATCTACCCTCCCTCAAAACTCTATCCCAAGGGAGAATCTACAGCTTCCTCAAAACTCTACCTCCACTGCCCCTTTAGAAACTCTTTCTCATTGTAGATGCTTGTAGGCTTTTCCTCACGAAGCAAAAGGGGGTCTTGGCTTCTTTTTAATTTTTGTGAGTGGATGTGATTTTAGCAGTTTCTTATTTGACTTTCCTTTGCTTTCTTCTTGTCATTCCACAAACTGAAAGCATATTTTGCACAATGAACCTAGGTGTCGTTTGGCAAGGGTTTGAGAGAGGAGGGTTATAGAGAGGAGTTAGCGTACTTAACCAATTATGATGAATTAAAAATATTGTAATTCTTTTTGAATTACATAGTTAATATGAAGTTAATATGAAGGGTTAACTTTTTTGTTCACAAAAAAGGGTTAACGAAGTTAATCCCTCTATTTGTTTAACAATTACTAACTTTAACCTTATGCATAGTAGGAATATTTTCTAATAATTATTATTCTACTATAAATTTAACTACAGTCTGCATTCATCTAAACCATAAAATATTCTCATTTTGTACCATTTGAATAAATGGTTGTTGATAAGGCTAATAAATATAAAGCAATTTAAATCATTATTTAATAATTATTGGTTATATAGGAATAAAACAATAACAATTATATACTACCATATTAGCATGAAATTAAATGTAAAAAGGGATAACTGGATTTAAAATTAAAAGGATTTCAATAGAAAGAAAATTTGCTATTAAAGAACATAAGTAATAATTTTCTCAACAAACTATAAAAATTTCATTTTGTCAAAAATATAGTTAATAGTAAGGGTTCATTGTACAATTTAAATATTTATAGGAGATTGTCTGCTAGACTGGATATAATATAGCATTACAAAGCTATACTTACAACATGTTGGCCTTCTTGTTTTGATGATGTTTAACAAACAATTTACGACTAATATTGCTTGTCTAGTATTTGTGGTTTTTGTCTATTTATTGTAGACAAACAACATATTGGAGGGTGAATGGAATCGAGCATTCACGATCATATCCAATGGAGGTTAGCGGAATTGTGGTGTGAAGCAATACAATTCAAGTTAAGGATTCAAGTTCAAGCTTCATCCGTAAGTTTACCAAAAAGAGCCTCGTTGAAGATCACAAGCTTGGATAAATTAGTTTAGGAGTTTATATTATGTGTGTTAAGTACTTTAAGCTCAATATCATATACACACACATTTCATTGGTATATTTATATTCATACATATTTGTTTTTACGTGGATAAGTTGGTTTGGTTTAATTTCATAGATATGAAATTAACAAATATATATTCATATACATACTCATATGTTTCATATTCTATTGTATTTGTGAAAATATTGTATTCATTGTTTATAGACTTCATAGCAATAGTTACATCTTTCTTTAAGTCTATAAAATCATTTTATAAAGTTTTAAAACATGGTTTAGCTAAAATATCAAAAACATGTGTTTTGTATTTTCATGTTTTGGACTATTTTGTAAAATAAAGAGATTTCTCATTTGGGAGGTGTTTTTTGAAAACCAATTTTTGTAGCATGTGTATTATCATGTCTACAATCATTTTCCAAAGTTTTACATTTTTTAAAATTTATTTGATATTTTTAAACCCTATTTTAAGTTGACATGTACTGTTTAAAACACGCTGTGTGTATGTCTTGAGTCGACTCATGATTAGTGTTGAGTCGACTCATAAACTATTGTGTAGTTTACATTTCATTTCTGATGAGTCGACTCACAACATCATGAGTCGACCCACCAGGTTGAGTCGACTCATGTCTGTCATAAGTCGACTCACAAACTGTGCTGGAAAATGAGTTTTGTTTCTGATGAGTCGACTCATGATCTTATGAGTCGACCCATGGTTTTTGAGTCGACTCATGATTTTTATGAGTCGACCCATAAGTTGGTTTTTAGCCTATAACGGCTACTTATGAGTCGACTCATGAACAGTACTGAGTCGACTCATAACATTGTAACGACTATATTTTCAGACTGTACTGTTTTTGGGTTTTTGATCTTTTTACCTTATTTTCTATTGGCTTTAGGGTTCCTATAAATACCCCCACATATCCTCAGTTCCAAAATATCCAAGAAAAATTTAAACAAGTTTTTAAAGGGTGTTTAAGTGTGTTTAAGTTTGGTTTAAAGTTTGTTTGGTTTGTGAAGAAGCTTTCACAAGTGGAGGAGATCATCTACATTGTTTGAGCTCCATTTTAATCCATCCCTTCATCTTATTTTTCAGAGAAGAATTTCTAAACTCAATACTAGCTTTGTATTAATTATTTGTCGTTTATCATTTTCATCAAGCTAGGGTTTTACATTGAGTTTATAATTGATTTTCTCATTGCTTACACACACTTGAGTTTATAATTGATTTTCTCATTGCTTACACACACAACCATTGAGCTTATTGTATTTGCATACATTGTATAATTGGGTTGTGGGGAGTTGTATCAATTGAGAGTGAGCTTAATTGAGTTCTCGTCCATTGTAGAGAACAACCAAAGTTGTATTAGTGCCTAATTATGTAGATCACCTTGTAATATACTTGTACATCGAAAGAAGTGTGTGGTGAGAGACGGAGTGGTCCCAAAAGGAGTGGGATAGGTAATAATCCTAGAGAGGTTGTAATTCCTAACACTTGAGGGAGACACGGATTAGAGATCAACACTTGAGAGGGTATAAAGTGAGATTGCAAGAGTGTGAGATTGTAAAGCTTTTGGTGAACTAGAAAACTGAGTGTGAGATGTAAACGTTATTCGGGTGAGCGTATAAAACCCGGTTGTGATAGTGAAGATCTCCTCGAGGTGAGGAGCGGAGACGTAGGTCGTGGGGACCGAACTCCGTGATCATATCGTTTGTTTGTGATTGCATTGACGTACTTATTTTTGTGTTCATATCTTATATCGTCTTTGTCTATTGCTTATTGTTCATATTCCCACTATCTTGTTTGTGTTCATATTGCCCTTGGTTTATTATCCTTGCATATATCTTGTAGCATATCATATTTGCTAGGATAATTTGTTAATTAGTTTTAATCGGTATTTAAATCGGATTAGATTAGCATAAACCCTATTCACCCCCCTCTAAGGTTCTAACACAACAAACTAGTCTGTCCTCTGCCCATTTCTTTTCAAATGCCTGCTACTGCACCCTACATGAGGAGGCGGGGTAAGTTTACTCTACATTCTCATGCGAAATTCTAAACCTACCTAATGACGGATTAAATAGAGGTTTCAGTTATGGGAGGGTTTGTTAGTCCTCAGGAGAATTTTGGTAATAAGGAGGTTCAGTGTTGTAAATAGCGGCCAATAGCGGGGCTATAGCGGCACGAATAGCGGTCGCGGCCCTTCAGCGCTACGCGTAGGGGTTTCGCGGCTGGCTTAAGCGGGAAAATCCGCTATTCATTCGAATAGCGCGTAAAAGCGGATTTTAGCGGGTTAAAAGCGGGTTTTCACGGTTAAAAGCGGATTTTCACGGTTTAAAGCGGATTTCGCGGTTAAAAGCGGCTAAACCCGCTATCACACATATTATGATGCTATATTTCTTGAATTTCTTCATAGTTTCATTCATACAACAAGCCTACTAATTGTTATTTACTGATAATACAAGAAATTTACAACTAATTAAATTTTTAGATTTTTTTTATGAATTTTTTTATTATTTAGGATATTTAAATATATTTAAATTTAACCGCTATTTGACTGTGCGCTATTTGCCGCGATTTCGCCGCAATAGCCCGATATAGCCTTAGCGGTACCTCATCGCGACGCGCCGCGATCCGCTATCAGCAACCTTGAGGAGGTTAATGAGGGGTTAAACCCTCTTAACCCCTATACTAATTCGTTGCCAAACAGGAAAGGTTTTAAATGTCGGATGTCGAATTCATGTCGGACGGCTGAAATTCATGTCGGATAGCGGAAATCGGGGATATATCGGGGGACATGGACTAAATATCGGATTACCATATCGGGTGGTGTTCATATGTATAATATCATGTCCTAAATGTAATCTAAGCATTCCTAAGTTTAATATAAGTACACTTTATAAATTCTAGAGGCGACATCGGCGATGGGTGGATTCCGACGTCGCAGGGAGGCAGAACCGACAACGGGACGTCGTAGGGAGGCAGGGCTCTTCTTCTTCGTCTGCTCGGGGCCCTTCGGATGAGTCACTGACCACCCTCTTCCCTTCCGACGACGGGATATCCTACCGCCCTTGGGTTCGATTGGGGTTCGGATTTTGGGGTGCAACGGGAGATGGACGATGGGGGGCTGAGATTGAGGTGGGGAAAGGACGTCATCGTTCACAAAAGTCCACTATAGCCCTAATTTTTTTTTCTATCGGGTTAATAAGAAACCTTTAAACATAAGAACATGTCAAATGGGTTTGAGTTTTTATTACTAAATCCAAACCTGATAACAAAAAATAGATCTAAAAAAGGGTCATATCAGCCGATTTTTCAAAGCTGAAAAATTGGTCGATATGCTCGCTATGGCCCCGATATTTCCGACTTGGCCCTGAAAAAAAAACTGATATACGAGTTGAAAACGTTCATGTCGTGTCGCTCAAACCTTTAAACCGACATGTTGACCGACATGTCGGACACGTCGGCCGACATTTAAAACCTTGCAAACATCGACCGACATGTCGGACATGTCGGCCGACATTTAAAACCTTGCAAACAGGGCCTTAAAGAATTGGAATATTTCTTGGCTTTGGAGCCCTAGCATCTCTCTCATGGGTTTTTGGATCAAGTTGGCAAATTTGTGTCTACTCGACTTTCTCGTATCTTAGTGTACTCTTGAACAACATTGACTTTTCTACTGTTGCATAGCACGGCCTTATCTCCTTCGAAAAAACTTATTTTTATTAATGTCACTCATGAAGACTCATTTTCCTTGTTGCTCATGATTATCTTTTATCTTAATGTCACTTGCAAAGCTGCTTTTTCTCAATGTTGTTCTCAACTCTACAACTCTGTCGATGATTGTTGGTGTGAGTGGGTTCGTCGCTGTCTGAGATGCGACAATGGGCTAATTATTCAAATCCTTTTGGGAAAAGTTGTGTTTCGCTAATCTCTGCACTCCAGCTTGTGGGAGGTTTTTGGAGGACATCATGTGATTTGTTGTTTTTAATAGATAAGTCTAAATTCAATCTATTAGTAAAATATAGTACGTCTCATATGATTTAGGACTCTCCTGCATCGTATGTTTCCTTTTCGTATTTTAGAGTCTTAAAAGAGATTCTACAAAGTGAATAATTATGATCTTCTCCATATCAAGAGAATTGTTTTCTCTTTCTTTTAGTTTCAGCACCTTTCACCAAAGAATACAATTTCAAAAGATAGAAGAAACTCTAGAAGTGAAGCCTCATTGCATTAAATCCTCGACGAGTTCTCCCTTTAGTTTTTCCATTTCAAATAGAGAAAAGGACTGTAACAATTTATAACAACGAAAAGTAGCTCCCAATGAACAAATTTTCAAATACAACATAATTATCAAGTCCAAATGCAAAACTTCATCAATTAGACATACTAATACATCATATCAAGCAATTAGTAATTGCAGCAATTGCTATTAAAAATCAAACTTTTTAGGAATAAATCTGACCTGAGCCCGAAGATAAAGCCGGCGCTCGTAGAAATCCTCCATCCCTGAACATAATGGCTCGTATCCCTATTCCAATTAAACCCAAGAAAATTAGAATCAAATCATTCACAGCTTCACACGAAATCAACAAAACCCAAGAAACCCATTTGGGGTTTTCGCAAAGAAACGATCTTTTCATCACAAAAACTGAATAACAATAATAATAAGGTAGATCAGCTCTCATTGCTGCTCCCTGATTATGGGTTTTTGATTTATGGTTTGCTGGGTAGAAGGAAATGAAGATATTAAACAGAATGTATTTCTTTTTTATTTTTATTTTCTCCTTACATAATATGCAAGTGTACACAAGAGCACGAGGGGGTCGGTTAAATGCTCCGGTTAAATTATGTCGTGCTTGGATGGAAGGCAG